TCAAATGGAATATGTACTGATAGTTGCATCACATCATGCATTTCCTTCATTTTAAACCTGCCAAGTTACTTGTGTGTCCGTCATGATATTGGTGCGATTTATTTTCCTAAGGGTATATTCATCTCATAAGAAATTTATTTTGTGTGGCTTTTGTCTTCCTAAATTTCGCGTGTTTTTTTCCTGGTTAGCTAACCAATTATTATTCTAGCGCATGATCTACTAAGATCTTTTTACCTTATTGTACAGTTTATCATTCTAGAATACTAGACTTTTCTCCACAGTTAGGATGTCGATATGAAAAGTTTAATTCATGTTTAATCCTTCTAGAGCTAAGCTTAGCTTAGAGAAACTGTGGCGTGATGCATGCCATCTGTGTCATACAAAAATATTAAATTCCATTTCTTCATTTTTGTACATCAATATGTTGCACTACATGAGGTGAGACAAACTCAGAATGGGAGCAAAATAGTCCTGACTATTGGCGAACTCTTCTAGCTCGCCGTGTTCCCACTGGTGGCGTTGTAGTCAGGCCCAACAATTCAACTTGTAAGGATAACATGTAGCCCGAACCCAAGAAGGAATGGATTTAATTTTTCCAGGACAACTATTTTTTTTATATTTATTAAAAATTTGCAGCCATGTTCACTTGGGCAATACCTATACCTATTATAAGTCCTTCAAGTTCAGACAAGAAAAAAAATTAGATATCCTGAAATCTTTACTATACAATCATTTTGGTCTTCTTGAACTTCAAATGACATCATCAAAAGATAATTTATGGTTTGTATTAAACTTGACCTTTAGATATGCGGGGTCATCAGGCACTATAGATATTCTTTTTCCCCAAATTTCTAGAATATGAACTAAGAATTCAATACTCATTTGATTTTAATAGGATGCTTCGATCGAGACGTGCGTTGCACATGCAAGCTTACTAGTACAATGAGAAAGCAAAGTGTAAATCCCGGAAATTGCTTTTGGAGGCCGAGCTCCGTGAAGGCCTCCAAATGCAAAATGCAAAATTCGTGAAAATTCATTTTTTTACATTTTAATTTTTTTGAAAAAGTTATAGATATAGATGAAGGCATAATGTATAAGTGTGTAAATTTTTAGGATGAGATACATCGAAAGAATGGCTGTGCAAAAAAACAACAAATCTGGAGCTTTTTAACACATGATAGTATCCATCCTTTCGGACCATGAATTTGTATTTTTTGTACAGGTCGCATTTCAACACATTTCATCCTGAAATTTTACACACATACCCCTCACATCATTGTTTACTTGTACTCCATCCGTCCGAAAATACTTGTCATCAAAATGAATAAAAAGAGATGTATCTAGAACTAAAATACTTCTAGATACATACTCTTTTATTCATTTTGATGACAAAAATTTCTGGACGGAGGGAGTACAAAATTTTCAGATTTTTTGAAACCAAAAATTTTGACTTTTGAGTTTATGAAAAAATCAGCCTTTATGGAGGCTGAGAGCTAAACACCATTCTCTGTAAATCTTTCCTATGTTCTTTTTAATAATGATGGTCACCATGGATAGTGAACCTCCAACCTGAATATTTCCATTCATCTTGCCTATGAAGTATTTCAATGCCTTACAAGATAGGCAAGTGAAGCAGAGCAGACATGTGATGGCGATAGAGATACAACAACATCTTTGAAACTGTTGCGTCGACATGACAGCACAAAAACACCGTCAAAAGGCAATCATAGCCTAGACTGCACCGTACCACCACATGCATATCAACTTCAGTACTTGATGATACCACTGGTCGCAGCGTGGCAACCTATGATAGGATGGTTAGGTGGACAGTGGTATCCCCAGCAGGGTCGGTCTTGAGATTTAGGGGCCCGGGGCGAAGCTAGATTCTAGGCCCTTAACATAAACGTAAAAAACACGAGAAATATGTTGATTATTTCTAATTCCTTGGGTCCTAATCATCTATAATAAAAACAGGTACATGTCAAGACTAGCAGATGATTTAAATGCACACGATCACTCACTTTGTTATCATCCATGTTGATGTTAGCATATCTATTACGCGAAGTCCTCGTCTTATGGATTAACATTAGTTTAATCCTGCATAGCAACTGTCAGCATGTTGCCAAACTAAAAAAATTGATAACCCTAATAATGTCTCTTCTTGTAACTTGTAATCGCCTCTCTCAGAAAGTTAGGTTGATCGAGTGGGAGGCAACGGCCGTCCAGTCCTCCGCTGTCTCGAGGCAACGCCATGGGCGC